GTTCCATCAAATGATATACAGAAAACTAATTGTTTTATCAAATGATATACAGCAAACCAATTGTTGTATCAAATGATATACAAAAAACTAATTGTTCTATCAATTTATATACCTCAAACTAATTTTTATATCATATAAAATACAGCAGCCTAATTAAATGACTTCCCATGTTTAAATAAAGGACTGCAGAGACCCACATCGAAATGGGGACATTATTGAACAGAACTGTTTTAAGATTGAATTAGTGAATTCTACAACATCTGGACACACAACAGAGGGTAAGTGAATCAGAAATGACCATTTGAAGTGACATCCAGACTTGACCATTTGAAGGGACATCAAGACTTGACCATTTGAAGTGACATCCAGACTTGACCATTTGAAGTGACATCCAGACATGACCATTTGAAGCGACACTGACAGTTAAACATGACATGGCCTTTGGAGCTGACACTGACTGCAGACATGTCATTACCAATAGAGCGGACAATGACAGCAAACATGGCATGACATAACTATTTGAAGTGACAATTACAAGCAAACATGACATGACCTTTTGGGGTGACACTAACAGACAAACATGACATGACCATTTATCTGACACTGTCAGGAAAACATGACTATTTAAGGTGACAGGCAAACATGACATGATGTGACCATTTGAGTTGACAGGCAAACATGATATGACCGTTTGAGGTGAGAGGCAAACATGACATGACATGACCATTTGTGGTGATACTGAAAGGCAAACATGACCATTTGAGTTGACAGGCAAACATGACATGACCATTTGAGATGACAGGCAAACATGACATGACAGGACAATTTTAGGTGACAGGCAAACATGACATGACATGACCAATTGAGGTGACACTGACATGCAAATATGACAAAACATTACGATACCACCAACATCCTGAAGATCAGAGATGCCCCAACTGCTGCCTAGAAGGGACCATACCTATGGTTGAAGTAGGATCTTGTGAAAAAAATGATATTGATTTGAAAAAAAAAAACAATTTGCCAACACATTTCCGCCCCCCCCACTTTTTTTTTTTTTTGATGATTGTATCCTAAATGAAGATGATATATGTCCATAAAAAAGGTATGTTGTGAGCAAATTTTCACTACAATGCATTTACTCAAATAATCTCCTTAAATATATGGAGATCTGGGAAGTGGGGAACAGATGCCAGGGGGGAACAAACATGGATGACCTAAGCCAAACTAGGAACAATAACTGGGTAATGAAAAGAATATGTAATTACATTTATAAAAGTAAATATCTGTTGTAACTGTATTACTATAAGGACACAAGGTAAATGTCTCCTTTGTTTATTCTTTATCTGCCTAGGTGAACTTGTTCATTTTCATTTAGTTACTGCATCATAGAATTTTAACAGTTTTGTTTTTTGCATGATCGTTCAAAGGTGGCTGGGGACCCTGGCATCCCTGGGTTTGTTCCAAGGATTGTTCTATCAAAGTTTACTTTAGAGAAAGGTATGGTGATTGTTTTGTCAAAGTTTACTTCATTGACTTTTATGGTGATTGATCTGTCAAAGTTTACTTCAGAGAAGTTTATGGTAATTCATCTGACAAAGTTTACTTCAGAAAAGCTTATGGTGACTAATCTGTCAAAGTTTACTTCAGAGTTTAATATCAGAAGAATTGACATGGCATTGCTTATGATCAACCTCCAATGAAGCGTAAAGATTTTTACTCTTTATATTTAGAGCTTAGAGTGAGAGACAATTGTGTAACAACCAACACATCTCAGAATTTTAAAATCTATTTTCATTTTCCAACTTATCGGCCATGTATAAAACACATTCCCTTTGGCGTGGTGGAGGGGCATACCGGCAAGAGGGTCTGGTTGACAGATTCACAGCCCAAATTGTCATTTTTATGGTTTCTGTGTTGGGTTGGCAAACCACCAGAGAAACACAATCACTACTATAAAATCATCAACAAATTCCAACTCTTACCCACTGTTGCTGGAGAAGGGAGGCCCTGAGAAAGGGATTATAATCTGGATGAGTTGGAATGAGTGAGAGAAGAAAGCAAGAGCTCAGAAGCCCTGCAAAGATTTAGTTAAAGGCCTGTGCTTCACTGGGAGTTGAAGAGACACAGTTGAAGAAGATAAAACAAAATCCTTCTGCGAAATATAGGAATGTATTGCATTATATAAATATTGTTTTAAAATGTTTTCTCAGATTTTGTAATAACCCAGTACCAAGCGTCAATGGAGAGGGTTGTGTGGGAGAGATTATGGAAGAACACTTCCAGTTATGCCCTTGTGCTGAACATAAAGGTCTAGAGAAATTCCTGATTTATACTATCATTCATTTTCATATATTTCACTTTTAAGTTCTATATTTATACTTCTCAATAAAATTGCCACCAAGTAGAATAATTAAATTTTAACAAATTTGACTTGAAATATTTTTTGCACAGAAATGTATTCTTACATTGGACCTTATTTTTTACATATTTTGCTAAAACTATATCTAATTCTTGAATATAAGAACTTTGATACCATGTCATCATCTGGGCTGTGGAGTTGACTATTATTATTTCTGACTGAAGCAGATATATTGCGAATTAAACCATTTTTTTGAGCATTTGTTCTGTGGGAAAAACTGTGTTGAAAAGAATTAGTGCAAGTCAGAGAAATGATTATGATTTCACTCATTCACTGTGACGTCACTCAATCATTTTGATTTCAGTCATTTATGATTTTACAAATTTTTTTTAAAAATGATCACAGTGACTTCATATTCAATAAAAAGATGAACAAGATATGTTTAGACTTGGAACAAAAAAGGCAGGACAATTAAACTGAAATATCAGCTAGATTTCTTCTTCAGTAGACAACACAATAATAAACAAAAGATAAATTTAAATAGAAAATAAAAGTTTTGTTTTAGAAGATCTCAATGTCACTGTAGGTCGAAGTTCAGAACAGGAAGCGCTTTGTGTTATTGTTAGAAACTGAAGTTACAAAACATAGGTGAATTACCAAAACTGAGTGAAAATGAGGATCGTCTGTAAGACAGTATTTGATTGATTTCATATGGTGGTTGTAAGGGGATGACATTAATTTGTTCTCCAGGGAAAACAGTGTTTCTTCAGAAAAATGTAATTAAAACTTTTTGACTGAACATCAATCACTATGACTTCACTAAGTCTTAGTCAAACATCGTTATGAATTACCTCAATCTTTATGATTTCTTTCAATCCGTTGGGCTCCCAACAATCATTTTGACTTCACTCTTGTCAAATGATCCTCAAAAGTGATCAGCATGGGATAAATTTTTTAATAATTAATTATATGACCACTTTTCTGGTAATTTGTTTCTTTTTTTTAATCCTATAACTGAGAATCACTAATCCGGGCAAAAACCGGTGAAACTCCCACTCCACAACTCTGCATCCCTGATATAAACATAAGCATTGAGCTTCATGTGCATTAAAATTACCACATTATAACAGTGAAATGTGTATACTTCTAGATGGTGGACATCATCTGTTCTGGTTGCCTCTGTTATTTGTTCTCATCCCTGCTGTTTTTGTAGTGTACGTCTTGTAAGTATTGAAATAGTCAGTTTAAGCATAATATAGGGGACCACTTTTAAGTACCTAATTGAAATAGTCAGCTTAAGTATAATGTTGTATACATCTTGTAAGTATCGAAATAGTCAACTTAAGCACCAATTGTTTCTTTTAAAAAAAGTTCATTGAAAATTTTTTATGACATGGTCCAGCCACTTTTATTTCTACATGAATCTAGTAAGACCATATGTTTAGAAAACTAGTTTTATTTGTGTATTAATGATTAATGTAGGGCTATGTATTTTGAGTTGGATTAAATGGTTTACGATTAATGCATAAATTTTTTGGTAGCTCTAAATAGTCCAGAGATTTCATAATTCATACGTTATATTCTTAAATATTAGATTTTAGTGTTAAGAAAATGAATTTCTTGTGGAGCAAATGATTTATAATTCTATTTATTTTTTTAACTCCTATGTTTCAGGAGAAAGAAAAAGATTATTCAACTTACAGCAGAAGATAACAATGCCTTGAGAGATTTTGAAAAGTCAATCAGATATTCTGATGTGAATGAGAAGCATTTAAACACTCCTGGCAAGAATAAAAAATTGAGTGCCAATTATGAAAAGGGGAAGAAATCGATTGATTCTCCAGAGAAAACAATTTGTGTTTTTTTAGAGAAATCAAGTAAGGGAAAGAAAAATAGTAACCTAACTGACATTGATGATCAAATTTCTATTTACCTTGGAAAAGCAAGGCTGTTGTCACCAGGTAGTGAAACATCACTGACTTAAAATTTGCAACATTAAAATACTGTGTGGAATTCCAGACATAATTTGAAGTGAAGAAGAATTAGAATAGCTTAATGTTATTTTCTTTTCAATTTCAAGTATTTGGATTTTGAATCCTCCATTTTAAAAAAAGCTGGGGTCCATTACCCTGATTTCGAGGAAATCATTTACCAGATGCTAATAAGTAATCTTATCACTGTGTTGGTAAATGACACACACTCAGGGCAAAAATGTTATAATTGGCATTTCTTCATTATTTTGGTATTTTGCATTAATTTTAAGGAATGAACTATAAAAATCTAGGGGATTTTAGTACACAGTGAATTACAGGATCCCTATTATAACAAAACCCATAAAAACCTTATGCAGTTTTTAGGTGGGAATTCTTTAAAATATTATATAATATAACTAGCATAGTTTCCAAGTCAGGTATATGTTATCTGTTGCATCAAGTCAAGCTATGTTGAGTAGTGTAGTGCAAACATATTATAGTGCAACAATTTGTTATATTTTAATGTTATGTGGTGGAAAATAAAAACTAAATATTTTTTTTTTTTGAATGTGTTATTGTTCATGAGTTCTAGTTCTCAAAACCAGACATTTAAACCACACTGATTTTAACACAAAAATGATGATGCATATATTTAACTACATTTAAATTAGTCGGTCCACCACCCCCTTGAGTCCATAATCATATCCCTCCTGCCCTCGGGACCACCACCCCTCTGTCTTAACCAGTTCAAATATGTTCAAAATCATAGTTTTGCACAAGCCTTAAGGAAAAATATAACATAATGAAAAAGTTTAACATATAGGTATTCCAGCATTTTACAAATAGTCTTTTTAATCAAGATTTTTTTCAGTAACATAACTTTTAAATGTTCTTACTTAATGCATTTGATGGGCCATGTGAAATAATGATATCATTCAATATCTGTTTACATCAACTTTCTCTATATCTGGAGCCCATTTCTTTGATTAGAGTGAGAGCAATGCTGAACAACCACACTAAAACTATGTTCCAGACATAACTTTATAAAGCACAACCATGATGGTTACTTCAAGGTCATTATAAATTATGGTATCAACTATTTTTACTTGGAAATAAAAATACTGCCAATTTTGTGTCTTGCCAAATAACTTCATTATGAAGCAGTAAAGTTTAATATTTTATTTTAATGCATGTCCTAATAGGTGCATAGGAAGAGGACTGTGCATTCTAACAAAAACTATCACATTCTTAACTACTCCATCACTGTTCTAAATGTTTTTCAATGCAAACCGGAAAAGATCAAAGATCCTTCTTGTGTCTCTGTATATCTCTATCTATTCACTACCCAGTACTTTTGGTTTTTTTTTAATGCTGAAAATAAAGTACCTGTACTTTTTAGTTTATGGTTTAAACAAAAGCATTACAAAATCACTAGACCTCCCCCTGGAAGGTAATTCTAACCTCTTGCATTTAGTGACCAAAGCCTTGTTTTAAATAAGCTATTTTTATTTTGAAAAGAAGCTTTAATTTTAATATATAGATTCCCCCCTAAAAATAAAATTCCGCAAGTTTTGCAGAGGGCTTCATCTAAAATGTGTACCTATAAAAAGCAAATTTCCCACTTTTTATATCTAACTTAACCTTGAATTGTATCAGTTTATATTATATTAATTCTACTGTTTGATAATAGTGATTGACTAGCTGCTAATCTCAAAACTACAATCTTGTTCTGTGCTACATGAGTCACCCATTTACAAATTCAGTTCATCTCTCAGGATATAATTAGTGTTCAATTCTATCAACATATTAAAATGCTAACACTGCCAGCATGACACAAACCTTAAAAGAAACAAAAAAAAGTCATGACCTATCAAAAACTTTTAATATGCACATGCATTTGGCCGTAAGAATAAATTTTTAACACATGAATAGGAACTTTTTACGTACATTCTTTCCAAAATGTAACTTTGCAAGTTTACCTTTTAACATGAGAACTAATTAATTAAACCTAACATTACAAAAGTCACTAAAAAAATGATTTATTAAAAAAAGTTCATAAAAATTGCATAGTTAAATATTTGACGTATGTCTAAGTCCTTAATCATTGTCAATGTCACTATTAGGTAATTCTTGCAATGTGCTATTTTGATTGTTGAAACAGTATTGGGATCATAGCTGTTAAAATTTAATTCAAGTCATGCGTCACACTGGAATAAAAAAAAAAAGGCTTTGAAGCTTGATGCTCACATTTTAAAAATCAAAGCTGTAGCTGTAAAAAAATATGCTTTTGTTCAGGTGTTAAAAGAGTGATTGGAGTGATTTTGATTGAATCCAGACAAAGATTTGCTAGGTGTAAAGATAGATTTAACACAAGAGCCAGCCCTGTTCCCCAGATGATAACCAACAGCCTAAGGTGATTAAAATGCCTGTTGTTTCGATCGAGTTACTGGGTTGTCTCATCACACACAAGGACACACAAATAAACAGATCTAGGTCGTACAAATTTGGCGAGTTCTTAAAAAAGTTGTTCTGTCTTCCTTGTTAATTTCTGTTTAGTCCTCTTTGCTCTCAACAGTGGTGGAGGAGGGTTCAGACTTGAGGGTATCATTGCTTGCTTCAGCTCTAGGAGTCTGGTCGTCGTCATCTTTTCTTGGCTGAAAATGATTAATACGAGTTTTTTAAAACGATTATTACTAGAACGGCTTGTTTAAAGTGGAAGTTCTTTTGTGCAAACAATTTTTTTCTAATAAGTCAGTATTTTAGAAAAGTCAAAAAATATACCTGTTGTATGAAGTCTGATAGTAGCAGTAATTAAAAATGGCAAGGACAGGATATCTTTAAGATTCCTAAATGTTAGTAAAGCTAAGTGATTTGCAGACAGAAATAGGGGCAGATGGTTTTGATGGATTGAGGATATATATGGATACATCCATATCTTCACATAGAGGCGAAAGGCAATGGAAGGATGTGGTATAACAGACCAGAACCCTCAATTGGTTGTAGTGTCATTGATGTTAGTCTCCTTTCAAGTGCATTTCAATGCCTATACCACTTATTTAAAAGCAACATTGAAAATTCAACAAAAGTCAAACCCCCAAAAAAAACACAGGTCCCAAGAAAAAATGTCATGGGAGTGGATAGCAACCATAGAACAGAAAGACACCTAGAAAGCAATGTCAAATCTAATTTTGTTACAAGCAATGTCACAACCTGGCACGGCAATGAAATGTTGACATGGATATGCAGATAGAGTAACCAGAAATCCCAATGAGTAATGTCGTTCAAATCAAAGTGCAAGAAGTACTAACATAACATTAGCATTAAGTTTTGCCAAATCAACTTCTAGAAGTTTCCATGAAACACTAACCAAAAAGGAATAACAGGAAATCACTTGGTCATATGAAAAGAAAGTCACAAACACAAACTGAGTTCCCTGGATATCACTAAGAAGAACAACCCAGGTAAAACATATCACAGTAAGACCCAAATACATTATTAAATAACTTACTCCTTTCCCTCTGCGGAATCCACCACGTCCCCTCCCTCGTCTTCGGGGTCCTCCCCTGGGTGGACCTCCTTGATAACCATAGTATCCACCATCATAGTAGCCCCGGGGTGGTGGCCCATAGTAGCGTCTGTAAAATGGTCTACGACCTCTATAGCCCTGGTCACGTTGAAGTTGATACTCTCCTTGACCCTGTTAAAAAGAATGCAATAAAGATATACCATCACAGCTGTTTGAGAGAAACTAAGACATCTCTACCACAAGACCTTGAAATGGTGAAACCAAAAAGAAAGGTAACAGTGAAAAGGGAGGATAAACCCAAACAATGTGTTCAAATGTTGATTTACTATGAGTTAGAAAATTATTACATTCCCCATTATGAAATTTTGATTTACAGACTGGGTAGTATTAACATTTACAAATTAATATACCAGAAATTTCAATTGCAACAATAATGAAAAGCATACTATTAATAGTCAAAATACCTCAAGAAACTGCTGTCTTCCCCCACCACCACCACTACCACCACCACGACGAGGTGGCCCAAAGTAGCGTCGGTTTTGATAGAAAGGTTGACCTCTGCTTCTGCCACGTGGAGATGGGTAATCTACTATGTTGGATTCCTCCTCTTGATAGTTCTGAAGACATTAAAATTATGCATGTTAAACGGGAAAACTTCTCATAAAACAAGGGAAACAAAAAATATATATATATTATCTAGGGGCTTCTTCTTCAAACAGTCAAAAATAGACAACTGAGAATTACAACTAACCTGTCTAGGTCTGCTACCTCTTCCACCACTACCCCTGTAACGTGGAAACCATCCACCCCTTCGGAATCTACGTCGATCAGCTGCATATTTACTGCCTTGGACGTTAGAACCATCAGGTCCAGTGACATTAGCAGCTTCATTACCCTGTTATTTCAAAATATGAAATATAATTCAAGTAACCAAGCACCAAAACAGATTAACAACTGAAATTAATTCTTTTAGACATTACTAATAATATTTGATGTGCTCCCTTAGCCTCAGAGTTATTATGACGGCAAGGGCGGATATTTGAAGAAATAATTTCAAATCATAAAGTAAGAACTGGCAACCATGTGTAAGGTTTCAACAATTAATTCAAATAAAACGAAGATCAGAACTATCTTTTATGATACTATAAAATAGTAACTAACCATATAACAGTACTGTACTTAAAATATATGCCTAAAATTATTTTAACCTTTTCTCCTTCTACGACATCAAACTCCACTTTTTCGCCATCTCCAACACTTCTAAGGTATTTTCTTGGGTTGTTCTTTATAATGGCCGTCTGGTGCACAAAAACATCTTCCTTTGTGTCATCACTTAAATAAAGAACAAGATACTAGGTCTTTAATATCAAAAGAGTTACATGATTGTCCAAAATAATAAATCAATACTTTGTTAATGCCCAAAGAGCATCATGAATCAGTCTATAATGCTAGCTTATATTAAAAGTTTTCCCCAACATAATTCACCTTATGCATCCTATTTTATGAATGGAAAAGCTAGATGAAAAGTGTTTTAAATTACTCCATAAATAAGTGAAATATATTGTATAAATGACAATGGTTAACTTTACAAAGTATCTATACACTGGATGTTAACCCAAATAAAATAGCTTCAATTTAAATAATTAATTTGTATCCTATGTAGGAGCAGAGGTAGGCTCACAATAGTCAATAGACACAAGTATAAGAAGTATAAGAAGGCTATAACTATAAGCTGAAATAAAACATTCTTAAACATTTAAAATTTTCAATCTAGGCCTAGGATTATTAAATTTAATATGCCTAAATTTGATGACATCTCTAGTTCATCAAACTGCACTAACTAAACCTAGTCTTAGGCCTGTTTGTTAACTTCACTTGTTCCTAGGCCTAGACAGCACAGTGTACAGTACTATTTCTTAAATTGAATATTAGATTATGCCTCATGATTGTTTATTATTATTCTCCACTTCTAGTCAAAAATGTAAAATATAGACAATATAGATATGTAATGTCAATGTGATAATAACAGAGTATACAATATGATGCTGAAAAATAAATATTTTGACCTGAAATCCCAGACATCGCGTGACCCTAATTTCAGCCGACATGACCGATTTACTACCAGAAAAATCTTTTGTTTGTCCTTGGCAACTCACGTGGGGTGATACTGATATTAAACAAAAATACACACGGGTTTTTAAGTTTTAAAGGTGAATCAACTTAACATGTTCTAGTTATATATACTCTTTACAAAGGTTGCAAAAGCAAAGTAAAATGCACGCAAGATGCTTTTACTGGGACAAAGAAATGAGGTGCTCTGCTCTGACTCATTTATCGCACACCCCGGCAACGAGCATGAACGAACACGGTGTATCTCCCACACCCCTCTCCACAATAATTCTGGGACCTTACCGGTTGATAAATCCGTATCCACTCTTTACGTTGAACCATTTCACTGTCCCTGTTACGTGGCCAGCTGAAATTAAACGGGGAAAAATGCATACAAAACTTTTTCCAGGCCGGTTGAAGCAATAATTTACTTTTTTAAACGTTTAATCGAATATCTTGGTTATCAATGGAGAGCAAGGGGCGACACCGGTTCCCGGTGCGCTGCGGTCGCTCGACCGCATGGATAAATAAACGGACAAAATATAGTAACTCACCAATAAGTTTCTTTTCCTTTTGTTCTACTTTTTGTTCAGGTGCCGGCTTGTTTTCAACCTCATTCTGATTTTCAGTGTCGGCCATGGCAGATGGTAAATGCCGTCAGTTGGTACTACTAAAAAAAACCCACTATATCTCACGGTCTTTCCCTTACCATGTCCTTTCTCGCAATGATCTACTGTGGTGTTGGCTTGTTACCTCTCTTGTCGTCACTTGCACGCGATTGGACAAGTAGCCTGACGTCATTTTAACCAAACATTATTATTGGTTAATGTTGAATCTTCGTTAAAAAATATTAATTAAATATTTTTCGAAAGAAACTCAAACCTTGCCGCACAGCAAAACAATGACAACTATAATTTATTTTTAAATACTATTTAAAGAAAAAAACATGATTTTTAAGAGCTCAAGGAGAATTGTCAATTTTTAAAGAGTTCTTTATTATTGAAATATTATGCGACGATGTATTAAAATCATTGTATATTTTAATTTAGACCTTATCTTCGTATGCATGTGCTGTTACTGACATTTTTTTTAAAGTTTAAGTAGTAATTTAATGAGCCTCCATATAAAATTAGATCTATACATAACTAAATATAAAATAATGATCCTAAAAATAATTCATTACTGTGATGATTTGATAGCCCTAAAGTTAAGAACTCCGAATTTTATTAAACTTATTTCAATATAATATTTAGTATGAGTGGAACGTTACTAAGTCTAAACAATTATAACCTCAAAGTCAAATGACCTCTATAAAAAAAAAAAACGCTCCCACTGGATCGTCGTTATGGCTATGGACTTTCTCTGTACTCTTTTTCATGTTTAGTTGATGTAAAAAAATAATTAAAAAATCAATTTACTTCATGGATCCATATATATATGTATATATATGGGATCCTTCCGTCTTCGTGAGACGATGAAGTAGCTATATAGTTCTACACCTTGACGAGTGGCTCACTAGGCCAATCCTAGAATGGCAATCACGGCCGCATCTCTCGCAGGAGAATATTGAATCCCGGTAAATGGGGCGCCACAACATCAAACTGCCATACGAAAATGGGGCGCCACAACATCAAACTGCCATACGAAAATGGGGCGCCACAACATCAAACTGCCATACGAAAATGGGCGCCACAACATCAAACTGCCATACGAAAATGGGGCGCCACAACATCAAACTGCCATATGAAAATGGGGCGCCACAACATCAAACTGCCATGCGAACATGGGGCGCCACAACATCAAACTGCCATGCCAAGACAACCCAATAATTCGTTTTTTGCTAATTGGGGTTCAGAATTTAAGTGATTAAAACACTGGCGCAACTCTTCTTCTTATATATTAAGGGCCCACGATCACTGTGTTAATCATTCTGACTCCTATGTATGTAGAGGAGATTTGCAATGTTTCTGAGCCTGGGTAATGAAGAGGATATGTCACTGGTTATAAGGGCTACTCAGCGAAGGTATAATGGGTATACTTTTATGAAATTCGCTTAGACCGAGCAGTGTGTGCTCTGTGAATATGCAATTTTTTCAGTTGGGTGTCACCCGTGAGATGGTGTCACCCCTGAGATGGTGTCACCCCTGAGATGGTGTCACCTGGTGCACCCCCTAGCTATATATATATGTCAATGTGTGTGTGTGTGTGTTTGTGTGTGTGTGCGTGTTATTTTTAAGATTGGAAAGTTCCGCCAGTGTGGTCGCACCCCCCTCCCCCCTCAACCATAACAGGTTTCACTACTCAATCGTATTCGTTTACGACTGTAACCAAATTATGTTTACACAAATTTAATGAATATTTATTCGTGTTAATATTCCGTGGCAACCCAGTTGAGTGTCCCAGCGCTCCATAAACACTCCCAAGTCTTTCAGCACCCTCTTTGAGCTATCTCACTTTGAGAACACCCCATATTTTAAGGGTTTAAAAAAAGCACTTTGTGTGAACCGTGCCCCTCCTAATTTAAAATAAAAAAAAGGGCTTTAGTTATATCATTTTGTTATAAATGTTTGCATCGTAAAAATTAATAATTCTGTAACAACTAATGGCACTAACGCTACCAGGTGTTCAATAGCGCGCAAAATAATATTGACGAGTTTCTTACAAATACCACAAGTGCATTTGGTGCGTAATATATATATATATTTTTTTGTTTAACGGAAATGGTGTAATAAATCTGTGGTGCAAATGGTTTAGACATAGAATATTAATACAGTTTAAATTTTTTTTATTTTTTTTTGGGGTGTGGGGGTGTGGAAGGGTGGGGGATAGCTAGTATTGGAATAAGGAATACGTAGAAGTAGAAGAGTCTTTTTAACAGTTATGTACTATATCTACATGTCCCTTAGTCCTGGACAGTAGGGGCGCCATAGATGACATGAAAAATATCCTCCTCCATTCCTCTCTGTTTTCTCCACTTCGCACAGCATCGCCTAGCTTTAGTCCCGTCCGCTCTTTGATGTTATCTTCCCATCTTTTCTCTGTCTTCCTCTTCTTCTCCCTCCTCTCGTTGTACCCTGCATGATTTCTTTGGTGAGCCCTTGTTTCCTTGTCACGTGGCCATACTGTTCCAGTTTGTGCTTTTTTTCTACAGTTACTAGGAGGTCAACATACTGCCCAATTGCTTGACGAATTTTTTCTTTGACCTGTTCGTTAGACATATGGTCTCTATAGCAGATTCCAAGAATGCTTCTAAAACATCAAATCTCTATCGCCTTTATTTTTCTTTCAAGTTCTGCTGTTAATGTCCCGGACTCACGGGCGTACAAGAAAATGGAGAGGACTAATGAGCGTATCAGCCTGATTTTGGTTCTGGGGGATTTATTTTTGTCATTCCATATTTTCTTAAGCTTCTTTAGTGCTGTTGTGGTCTGGGCAATCCTGGACATCAGTTTGGGCTTGGAGCCTTCTTCCGAGACTATTGCTCCTAGGCAGTGACGTAGCTAGGGGGCAGGGGGGACATATGTCCCCGGGCGCCACGTTAGGGGTCGCCAAAATGAGTATTAAAACTGATTCTTTAATTTTATTTTGATGTAAACTAATGTATCCCAAATACGTTTGCAAGATTGAATTTTGGAGCTCCACAAATATCTTCATTACAAACCAGTTGGCAAGCATGATTTGTGCGCCCCCATTGAGCATTAAGGGGCGCCATTCTACTCATAAACAAATGACACATCCACAATGTAGGATTGCTGGTGGCGTTTTTAAAAAAAAAACAAAGATCAGTTCGGGCTCAAATATTATTCTTTATATACTGAAAGTGGCATCTTGTTTTAACAACTATACAGGTTGGATAACGTCTAGTCGAATATAGGATTTTACGTGAGTGCAAGGACGATAGAATAATAGTTCACATAAGTTGAAAAGAGAAAGATAGATAACAAGTATTCGTCTCGTTGAATATAATCTGTAGCTTTCTCTCACTTGACGGCAGTTATCAACCGCCTGCAACGTCAGTCTTAGATCACCTCAGCCAGAAGGTTGAACCATACCGCAAGGATTACAACATACAAGAAGATATGATTCAGTCAGATGCTAATTTTTATGCTGAGGAAAACACCAGAGACTTCGTTGTTGAGCAGATTCAACAAGACGATGAACTTTCTGACTGTGACGAGGACAATGAGACTGAAAAATTTTCTTTTGATGAAGAAGCTAAAGATGGTGCTGTTCTTGTTCCTGCTGTCCTAAGATTTCATGATGTTGGCTACTTAGAATTTGATCAAACGACAAAGCTGTCGATAATACCACAGCCTCTTCGTGATGAATTGATAGCTCTCGGATCTATACCCTTTCAGTATATAGAGTCAGTCTATCGTCAGTAGCAGGTGAACGTTCGATTACTACGTCATGGTTTAAACGCCGACTAGCAAATGGAGAGGAAGTAAATCGAGCGTGGCTAGTATATTCACCAATTAATAAAGCTGCTTACTGTTTCTGCTGTCTAGTGTTCACATCAAGTTCAAACTCACGATCTTCATTTGAGTTAACCAATGGTTTCAACAAATGGAGAAAGCCAGAAAAACTACAGTCTCATGAAAACAGTCTCGGCCACCGCAGAGCTTTTACTATAACATTGAAGGAAGCCGAGCAGAGGATAATTGATAAAACTGGAATTGATGTCCAGGTCCAAGCTCAAATTCAATTGGAAAAACAACTTGGCGCGATATTTTGAAAAGAATACTTACCTGTATTAAGTTTCTAGTTTCACAAAATTTGGCTTGGCACTGCGTGGCTATGAGGAACATCTGCATCAGGACGAGGATAAAAATGTTGGAAAATTTCTCTCAGTGATCAAACTCGTTATTCAGTATGATCCACTGATACAAAAACACCTACAACATGCCCGAGAAAATCCAGGTTCAGAATCTTATTGCTCACCAGAAATCCAAAATGAATGTAGCCACCTACTTGCATCGACTGTAAGGAATCAACTGTTGAGAGTGGAAGTAGAAGAAAAAAACAAGTATTACAGAATCTTACTTGACTCAAAACCCGATCTAGGACACCGGGAACAGCTTTCTTAAGACATCAGATTTGTGGATATGGATTTTCAAACTAAAAAAGTAACCATCAAAGAATCATTTTTAGGCTTTGTTCAGATTCATTCCAAAGACGCAGCAAGCCTTGAAAGAGTTATCGTAGAGAAACTGGAATCTGATAACATACCTCTAGCCGACTGTCGGTCACAATATTATGACAATGCTGCTGTAATGACTTGGGATATATCCGTCCTTCAACAGCGAATATGTGCCAGAAATCACACAGCATTGTTCGTCAACTGTGGCAACCACAGCTTAAACTTAGCAGGAGTACACTCAGCTAAACAGGATCCAGTTGTTATCACATTTTTCGGAACAGTTGAAAGTATTTTTTTTTTCTTTCGTTCAACAACTCGTTGGGAAGAATTAAAAAGAGTTGTGCCAATCACAGTGAAGAGGGAGTCTGAAACATGCTGAAGTGCACGATCAGAAGCTGTTTAAGCTATTTATGAAGGACTAGATTCTGATGAACTAGTAGGGCTGTTGGAAAAAATTATCAGAAGATGCAACTATGACGCCTGAAACCAGAAGTGATACAGAAACTTTGCTGGCAGGTATATTAAACTTTAACTTCCTAGTTTTGTTACATTTCTGGAAAGCATACTTGGAAAATTGATCGTGTCCAGAAACGGTTGCAGGATCCTAGTATGAATTTCAAGGAAGCAGCATCTGATCTTGAATCACT